CTGCTTCTCCCTCTCCCACTCCCCCTGCTTGTGTTCCTGCTCTCACTATCTCTCTCTCTGTCAAATAAATAAAATCTTTAAAAAAAAAAAAAAAAAAAAAGACCAAGATACAATAATGGACCAAAAAAATTAGTTATTGTGAATCAGAAATAATAAAGACTAAATTGCCTTTCTTAGAAGGGAATTTCAGCGAAAGATAAATAATTTGGAGGCCTAATAAATCTAACCATTAGGAAAAAAGTTTAACCTTGTGTTTCTATTGCTGTGTTCTCAGTATCTAGACTCAGTATCTAAAATGCAGATATATACAATCATTCATGACAATACATACACAGCAGATACCAGGATAAACAAACTATTCAATACTTAACCAAGTTCATCAGAGCACAGGGTGATTACCACTCCAGAATGTTGACACAAAAACTGAAGGGCCTCTCAAGCTCCAATCATATGCAGATAGGATGAGACCCTGTGCAGTTACTCATTCAGAACATGAGTGGAAGATTAACCTACCCTCACTCCTCTCCAAACAAACTCTGACAAAGCGGCAAGCAGTCTCTTCATGGGATGTTCATCGTCATCCTGTCTGTTCCAGAAGGAGCCAATTCAGTCGGGACCTGCATCTTCAGGTTTCCACGGTCTCACTACTGCCCAACATCATTCCCCACCCCCCACTCCCACTCCACCCCTGTCCGCATCCCCACCTTATTCTTCCTGGACGGACTCGCCCTCCAGATTAAGCCTCTCTTGTCACCTTCTCAAGCACTACCAAGTTCTTGTTTTCTAAATAAAGCTTTCCTAAACCTTACTCACCTGCAGTTCACTGCACTGGGTATCACCCAAATAGCCCATCAGAGCTCTTTATAATTTCTGAAAGAGAGAAAAGGAAGCTTTTAAATACATAGTAGAAAACACCTTTGCTGATGTATCAGTTCTGAAGCATTTGTATCCAGTATTCACAGTGTATGGTCTTTTGGTCCATAGTATTTCAGTAAAATGTAGCATAACCAGCCAGGACCAAAAGTCCTGAGATAAGAGACCAGTGATAAAAGTTTGGTTTATTGTTGCTATTACTTAGCTGGGTGACCTTGGGCAAGTCACTTGACTTCTGCAGGCCTAAATCCTCATCTGGAAAAGAAAACAGACTAGAAAGAAGTAGCAGAGCACATTACAGTGGAAAGAGCACAGGCTCTCCAAGACAGAACACCAGCACCACAACTTACCAGTCTTAGGACATTTGTTAGCTAGTTCACATTTGGCCTAAATTTTCTCCTCTGCAAAATGGAAATAACAACTATCTTAGGGTTGTTATGAGAATTACGGGAGAGATAATGAGTTATAAAAAGCCTATAGTAAACATACTGTGCAGTTTACCATAAAATTCTACAGCTGGTAATTACCACCATTACCCCCAGCCCTAAGGTTATATGAATTCAATTCCCAAGTATTTATTTCCTTAAAAGATCAACAAATCAAAACTGTACCAACCTGACAATGGAATTAACTGTTTCACTAACAATTCAATTACAGTTATCTTAAACTGATGGTAGTTTAAGATTATCAATATTACTTAACATCGCAGGAAATAGGAGCAGAAGAGTCCCTGCGTAACATCTAAACTGGTTCGGTGCCCATGCCTTCCCCGACTTCTCCCTCTGCTTTCACTACTACTAGTACACACCGGCAACAGAGAGGCCTTCCAAAAGCCAAATGACACCAACTGTTTTCTAAGGGTCAGCTCAGGGGAACACAACTGAAGATGGAGTAAGGAGAACAAAGTCTTTTTTTTTTTTTTTTTATCTTTTTTACTGGACACCTGGGTGGCTCAGCCAGTTAAGCGTCTGCCTTCGGCTCAGGTCATGATCTCAGGGTCCTGGGATCTCTGCTCAGCGGGGAGTCGGCTTCTCCCTCTCCTTCTGCCTGTGCTCCCCCTGCTTGAGCTCACTCTCTCTCTCTTCCTCCTCTCACTCTCTCTCAAATAAATAAAATCTTTAAAAAAAATAAAAATAAATCTTTTTAACTTTATAAACTTAAGTACTGTTCAATTTTGTTTACTATAGCATGCATCAGTTTTTACATAAAAATAATTGTTTAAGGGGTGCCTGGGTGGCTCAGTTGGTTGAGTGTCTGCCTTCGGCTCAGGTCAGGATCTCGGGGTCCTGGGATCGAGCCCCGCATTGGGTTCCCTGCTCAGCAGGGAGTCTGCTTCCCTCCTCTCCCTCTCCCTCTGTGATCTCTCTCGCTCTCTCTCAAATAAGTAAATAAAATCTTTAAAAATAAAAAAACAATTGTTTAAAACTATATTAATTATCATATTGCCTAGTGACAGGAAGCTCGCCTTACAGGAATATTTTCACCGCAAGGAGAATTTCCACAGAAGAAAGCAAAAAGGCAAATTCAGATGTGCTGAGAACACCTAAAATACGGCACAGAAATAACAAAAATCACAAACATTCACACTTCAGAATGGTTCAGTCAAAAAATGCGCCATGGATTCTTTGAAGATCTAATGATGAATCAGGGGGTTTTTGGTTCAAAAGCAAGATGAATATACAAACTCTGGTTTTACCAGACAACTTCCTGCTCTTAGAGAAAATGATCCAGCACGATTTATACAAGTAAACAAGTTGGTATGACTATCTGGCAGTATGTTGAAAAACTTTCAATTTGTTTTAGACAATTGATAGCTTTTAAAAACTATATTACATGTACTTATATATTTAATATATATAAATTAAAAGTCTTCATGTTACATCTACAATATTATTTTTAAAAGAGGAATATTAACTCTATTAAATTCAGGATTACTCAAAAGTATTATCTCAGCCACTCCTGAAGTGACAAACCACTACGTTTTATGTTGCTTCTAGCCAATGCTACATAAATCCTGACTACACCCATCAATTTAAACGAACTGTAAGCTGGTGTGGCCACATTCTCCACACGTAACATAGTTCTTTCCCAGAAAACATTTCAAAATATTACTTAGAAATCAAATTATATTTGAACGTACACTTATCTAAGTTTATAAAAATAAATACCTATAACAATTTGCTTATAATTTTTAAGTAGCTCCTCACCCTATCTTGTTTATCAACAAGTCGATAAACTTGACCCAAAATCCTCTACACATCTGAAACAACAGGCAAAGGACAGTATTTCTTGCGCTGAGGCAGTATTTGGATCTTAAATATAGTCTGACAATTATAAACTAACTTTTATTTAACATTAATACCAAGCCTACCTCTTAAACAGGGAATAAAAATGCATGTATAAGATCTGGTCTACTTATTTGTAGGTCCCTCTGCAATATTCTTAGCCTTTTATGAATATGCTGTGTATTTTAAAACTACACAAGGCCCTCTGCAAGTAGGAATGATCTCTTCCATTATTTTGGCATCACTCCCCTCCCCAGGAAAAAACTGGACAGTCCATAAATGTATACAGACTTTACAATGGGGACTGAATTTTTTTTTTTTTAAGATTTTATTTATTTGACACAGAGAAACACAGCAAGAGAGGGAACACAAGCAGGGGGAGCGGGAGAGGGAGAAGCAGGCTTCCCGCTGAGCAGGGAGCCCGATGCGGG